GGTTTGACTTAACTGATCAATATACTTAACATAATCTTTATCTTTTACATAAATAGCACGCCAGCACCTCATGTTGTCCTATCGTTTCTAAAAGGTAAATGATAACCAGGATTTTTAATGTCAAAGTCTAGAATATCTATATGTAACCAAGTTTCTGCTAAACATATAACATCGTAACTATCTAATTTGGCACTGATAAGTTCTACTTTGTCTTTAAGACTGCGTACGTTTAGATGTACAGATCTTCAAATCTGGACTATGTGAAGGTTCTGGGTTAGGATGGATATCCCCACAGCAAAACAGATGAAGTAAAACGAAGAGTGGTACTCGGGGATCGCATAAGCAAAGCAACCCAAAATATAGATAAATCTGTATCATCGTTCCAAAAAGATAACCGTGTTAAAAAGATTCAAGAACACCCAACTCCAGCCTGTATTGAACAACAGCAACCGGCATCGTCAAAGCAAAGTGTACATGTAATTGTTACAATAGGGCTGGCGGTGAATCTTTGTCATGAACACCTTGGTGAAAAGACCTACCAAAACTGATTTTTATAACTGGTGAACACAACACATTGCCAAATATCAAAACAGTAAAAATGATACAATATAACCTCATGCTGGAGAGAAAATAAGAGCAAAACAGAAAAATAGACGTTCAAACAAGAAGTAAAATAGCACGTCATGTAGAAATTAGATAAAGTAATCTGAGAGGGGAATCTTAAATTATATATAACTTAATATAAAGAAATAAACAAACAAACTAGGTTATGTACATGTATATATGCATCTTCTATGTACACCATGTGTGACACCTCTTAATAAACAATAAGTCATCATCAGTAGCCATATGGCTCATTGTGGGGGCAGGCTTGGCGGCACGGATGGTTGGAGAACTGCAGGATGCTGAGGGCAGTTCATGGGACAGACAGATAAGAAAGATCATTCTACAACTGAAAACCCTTTTCCCACTAAGTATGAAGCGGGAATGACGGGAAGTCCACGCCTATTACCTTTTTCATTATCAAGGGTATAATTACCTTTTTCATTATCAAGGGTATAATTACCTTCTTCATTATCAAGGGTATACTTTTCTTCTTCATTATCAAGGGTATAATTACCTTCTTCATTATCAAGGGTATAATTACCTTTTTCATTATCAAGGGTATAATTACCTTCTTCATTATCAAGGGTATAATTACCTTCTTCATTATCAAGGGTATAATTACCTTCTTCAGTATTAAGGGTATAATAACCTTCTTCATTATTAAGGGTATAATTACCTTCTTCATTATTAAGGGTATAATTACCTTCTTCATTATCAAGGGTATAATTACCTTCTTCATTATCAAGGGTATACTTACCTTCTTCATAATCAAGGGTATAATTAAGGATGGTTCGGTCCAACATGCTCCACTGAACATTCATGTTGACAAACATATTAAGGTCTTTAACAGGCAATTACCTTTAAAACTACTGTAGCTGCTTAATGCCGTTAAAGTGAAGACCAAAGAAAACTCCATTGTTCTGGTGGAGACGAGAGATGAACTCATCTTCAAAGGTTTTGATTGTTCTATGTATAAGCAGTTACATATCTTTGAACTATACCTATTATCACTTCCTGTAAATCCAAGATTATGTATAACTTGATATAGATTAGGTAATCATCATCTCCTAATAGGAACTGGTCGATGGTACAGTGTAATTAGAGAACATAGAATCTGTACATTATGTAATCTTTGAATAGATGACGAGTTACATTTCATGTTACATTGCCCTAACGTAAATGTCCTCAGAAATCGATATCTTCCAAAATACTCTTGCGAATATGTATCACGAATGTCTATACAATATAAGCCTATCCTTATAAAATTGTCCAAGTATATCAATACATCAATGAAATTGTATAAATAATGTTACTAGTATATGTTTGCATATCTGTATATGCCCACACATACTGTGCATCCACTCTTTAAAAAAAAGAAACGCACAGGTAGAGTTTTAGTAAATTTACTGTACATAATAAAGTCGATATATTTAATTTAATATCATAAATACAAATAGGACATTTTGGAGCTCGATAGTCACATGTTGTCGTTGTACAAGGGCATTGAAAACTGTTCATTGTCATGTAACATAAGGCCACAAGGTTGCGTTGAACTCAGTATCTCTTGTGACCGCCCCGGGCATCAATCACGGCTCTGCATCTCCCCGGCACTGACTGGATAAGTGGACGAATTCTGTCCTGTGGAATTCTGCGCCATTCTGCCTGTAACGCGTTGGTCAGTTGTGGGAGTGTCTGTGGCGTGTTCTGACGTTGACGTTCACGTCGATCGAGTTCATACCAGAGGTGTTCGATTGGGTTGAGATCTGGAGATCTCGACGGCTAGGACAAGGCGTTGATGTTGGCATTATGAAGGTAGTTTATCGTGATACGAGCTGTGTACGGTGGATCGTTGTCCTGTGGAAACAGCTCCCTCTGCCGGTTAATAATTGGAAGAAGGTGAGGTTGAAGAATTTGATTCATGTTGCGATTTGCTGTCAAATTTCCCTGAACCACAAGCAAGTCAGATTTCGTGGTGTAGGGTATGGCCCCCCACACCATGACACTACCGCCACCGAAATTGTCGAATTCACGTACACAATGTGGGGCAAAACTCTCATTTCGACGACGATAAACACGTTGTCTTCCATCTCGCCTGTGAAGAAGAAATCGTGATTCATCGCTAAACCACACTCGTCTCAAGTTTCTCAAATTCCAAGGCTGTAATGTATGACACCAAAGCAAGCGTCGCTGTCGATGGATCTGTTGCAAAGCAGGGACGATAATTGGTCTTCTGGGTCGGAGTCTAGCCTCACGAAGATGGTTCCTGACAGTCTGGTCCGATATCCTCCTCAAACCAGGGATGCGTCCTGCAGTCTGCGTAGCTGTGGCATTGCGATGACGTAGGTGGAACAGTCGAATGTAGCGATCCTGTGCAGGGGTGGTAACTCTTGGTCGGCCGGTTCTCGAACGGTCTGCAGTGGACTTGAACTGTGTGTATCTGGTACAAAGGCGGTAAATGGTGCTGTGGTGGACATGGAAGTGGCATGCAACAGAAGATTCCACTCTTTGGATACGTTCTATGGCGATGTTCCGATCGGCAGCGCTGAGTCTCGGCATTTTCGAACTTGAAAAATGTTGACAACTGAATGACAAATTATTGGCTTATGCTTGCCTCTTCGTAGCCACTACCACGAGTTACGAATGCCATAACTTGCACGTGCATTTTGCTTTACCGTTTTCCTCCATGAAATTTTTCAACAAGTGTGAAAACAATGCCGTTTAATACATTGCAAATCGACAATGGCTGCGTTTTGACGAATATCGGGCCACCAACATGTTTCAATAACATAGATTCAATTTATATACCGGACTTTTGTGTAGTCAGGTTCAATGAACTACAAACTACCTGTGCGTTTCTTTTTTTGAAGAGTGTATATCTTATACTATTATTGTTACTATCTACGCATTCTCACTGAATATATTTATGACTGTATATGTGTACATATGCATGTATATTCTCTCTGTATTACATGTTGTGATTTATGAGAATAAACTTGACTTTACTTGATTGGTGTCACCAGATGGACTTTGACAAGATTTGACGTTTTCAGTGTGTTTGTGTACATTTGGTTATTTGTTTGCCAATGGTAATGATTTCCATCAACAAATGCTGAATAGAATGGATGCTTGTCAGTGAAACTATATACAGACTAGCTCATCATGTACAAGATTGGATTTATATATCTCTTCAAATATCACAGTGTCACACTATTTAGCAGCAATGAATACTAATATACGATGTAATAGTTAAACTGTATTACATGAAGCCATTTAAGTAAATATATGCAAGAGAAAAAAGCCATCGAGAATAAATGATAACAATGTACACGATAAGATGTCCACACTGATACGGGTTCAGTCTGATTACGTCTTCTTCTTTTTAAAAAAATATATGCGTCCATTCTTTCTGAATAAAGCCAAAAATGACTTTGAAATAACCTGACAGGAAAAGTAAGTGCATGTTCCGTAACTCAGTGTTTTTGTAGATTACTGTGAACAATTGACTTGACTTTGCATGCCTTTGTGCCGGGTACCACCGGTCGGACAGGAACATCTGGTATCATCCCTTTTTGATAGAGATTCATAAACATATGCTCTTGATAAAGTCGGAATCGTACAATCGACTCTTCTTTTGGAAGAGATTTCGGATGAATATGGAAATAGATTTGTCGCTTTTATTTATGGGAACCAAGTTCAATGCATTTGCTGTCATGCAATGTGGGCTTCATTTCTAATTCTAGGTTTCAAATATATAGTATCATACTGCTCCACAAATTGAATGAATTCATGCATTGTTCTTTCTAGATGTTCTCTTTTGTAAAGATGACTTCTCTACTGTTCACAATAAAACCCTTAGTCAGTTATTCAAATATGGCCCAAAATTGATTGGACAGCCTTCTACCAAATGGGATCACAAATATTTGAGAAAAGTGGTATGAATACCATGTGGAATCTCAAAATACTCAAATGATTTGCTTGAACTTTTGAAATCTAAGAAAAGAATCAAGTTCAATACTGTGAAAATTTGGTTCTTGCATATATGATATTATGATAAATCTTTTTAATAAATGTCGGTATATATTTTTGGTATGACAAAGTATATGTGTTATTTAGATTTTAACTGTCCGTCATGGACAAGATTTTGATAGTTTTAAAATTTACCTTCCGCTAAACTATTGCCGATGCTGTGTGTTAACTCACTCACCCACTTACACCGTCTTCCAGTGGACACAAAGGCACATACAATTTGACTTTAATAAGATGTTGTCCTGCTGACGACTGCAGAAAGTGAATTTCTTTGTGGGGTATTTAGCCCACGTGTTACTCTAGATCGTCAAGCCTTTTAGTATGATTCCATGACTATCGTTAAGCGACCCCTTTGATCTCATGCTTACCTGCCCAGTACTGAGAGCCTGGATCCGGACTAGCATTAGAAAGGTCCTTGTCGTTGTTGTCAAACAGTTTGCACTGGTTATTGTTTCTGTTCAGCAGAACCACATTGCACTTGGAGTGGTAAAAACACTTGGTGAAGCATTCCGTCCACTTGAACCCCATCCCAGGGTAAAAGATCTCAAGCAATCCATTGCTGAGAAGTTTGTTATCAAACTCTGGTCTATGATGGTAAAATGAACCACATACGTTCGGTGGTGGTATTTTCCCCCTTATAATGTTAACAATAAGGGCTAATGTTATATATAACACCACCACACCCTCCATTTGGGATAACGAGTTTCTTTAAAAACTGGCAAACATTCCTTAAGATAACTCTGAACAACGCGCATATGTGTACTCGCAGTCACGAGATGCCTTCTAGTTTCAATGACGTCTTCTCCAACTCGGATTATGAATCGTAGTGCAAAGCTTTGTCGTCTGAGCAGAACGATTTTATTTTATCGATCAACACTTGGTTACCGTCATCGGATTGTGTAAACAAACGAAATTATTTATAACTGTTAGTTCTTAAGCATAGGGAAGCAGTAACGTCAAGATTTATTTAGTTGACGTAGATTCAGGTAATCATACGGAAAAACAAACTTATTTCCTCACTTAAGAATAACTGTCAAGACAGTATGTGGGTGACTTAAATTTGACAAAAAGATACAAAACATCCGTGACCACCAGAGTTCATCAATGAACAAAATGGTGCTAAAAGCAGCTGGTTGGTTCAGCCGGCAATGTCAGCTACGACCAACTTGACATGGTTTGATTACATAAATGCTGACGAACGTTTCGCAAAAAGTCGCACAAAATCTTGTAGTCTCGATCCTTGTCCAACTTAGTCACTTAAACAGTGGCAATGTGTCCTCTTGCCAACCCTCACTTCGATAGAAAATCAGTCGCTGGCTCAAAACGAGGTTCCTCCAGCTTTGAAATGCATTTACTGACCCAGAAGTGTTTAATGATGCGTTACTGATGAAGCGCTGTCATTCTTCACATCATATCTCACTGAACACCGCCAGTAGTTATTGATTGAGAGATTTCAAATAGAAGTGAACTGACGTTTGCATTGCACATGAATCTGTTCGTGGACCAATACGTTACAGTTGGAATAATTTTATCGATATGCTGATACACAGCCATATCTATATCTATATGCTGATACACAGCCATATCTATATCTATATTCATGACATTGTCACCGTCATTGGTTACTGAGCCATTCAAGAAAATCATGCACTCACTAGTGAGTTAAGGCAAAGGGTGTGACACAGATTGTCCAAGAAAACATTCTATGGTATCCCAAACCCACGGAATGGTTCTTCTCTCAAATGAGTGATTGTTACGCTGCTTTAAGCTAAAACCCAGCAATATCACGGCGGGAGACACCAGCAATGGGATCACACATTGAACCCATGTGAGGAATCGAACCCAGGTGACGCGACGAGTGAACGCTTTAACCACAAGGCTACCCCACGCCCCCCTCTCAAGTAACTTGAAAATATATAGAAGTGTTTCACGACATAAGGTTGAAAACAAGTTTATTTTTACTGTTATTAACTATATTGCTGATCTCCAAAAAGACATTAAAACATAACAATATACATGTATCTCCCATCAATATCATTTGCTTTTAAAATATCTAAAGAGTCCCAAGGAGGAACACTTTCAAAGTAAATTGTACGACGACACCCAAGACGTAGCAAATTTATTAAATGACTTGTTTGTAGGCCAGGCAGTAGTTGATAGTTCAGATAAAGACCCTATTGATCTTTAAAAATATAGATAGTCCCTTATAATTATGTGACATTACACTCAGTTGTAAGGAAATTGAGGACATCCTACGTTCAGTTGACACGACTAAAGCAACAGGGCCCGATGGGATAGGAAACAGATAACTTAAATTAACTGCCACAAAATTGGCACCAATACGGGTAAAATTGTTCAATTTTGTCACTCCAGAATTCAACCTTTCCAGTTTGGAAAGAGAGCATCAGTTATTCGTATCCATAAGAAAGGTCTTGAACATGACTTTTCTGATTATAGACCTGTAGAATTGACAAGCTGCATGGCCAAGTTATTTCAGTATGTGGTCAATGTTTTTGAGAGATAACAATCTGTTGACAAATTTACAATCTGGGTTAATGCCTGGTTATTCAATTTCAAATCAATTAACGTATTTTTACGACTTTATAGCACAAGCTGTAGATAACGGCAAGGACATGAAAGCTTTTTTGTGATATCCGTAAAGAATCCGATAAAGTTTGGCACAAGGGGATCATAACAAACTTAACTCATGTGGCATCAAGGGGAAATTATTAACATGGTTCAAGAGCTATTTGGAAAACAGAGTTCAGAAGGTAATTATACACGGTTGCAGTTCTAATGTAAGGCCGGTGACGACTGGAGTATCACAAGGATCAGTATTGGAGCCTTTATTATTCCTTATTTATATAAATGATATTGTGGAAGGTATTGATGGTATTATAGGACTTTTTACAGGTGACACGTCAATATATGTAATTGTGGAAGACCCAACCATTGCTGCTATTGACTATTGACAAGTCTTTACTTGTTTACCAATCCAGTCTCACACATTCTGTGTTATAAATTTGTAAGGATAAGATTTATGGATTTATTACAATTAGGAGCGACGTTTCGGGGAAGGTTCTAACATCGTTATCAAGCAAGAAAATACATATGTTTTAAACATATTTTGCTTGGATGTCAATAGGGATACGCGAAAATGCTATACACGTTTTCTATCGATTGGCCAATCAGCGATTTCAAACGACAAAAACCAGCGTAGACTGCGACAACTGTTTTCGCTTCCAAATGAATTTAGCTAAAAAATCGAAAATCTACAGGTAACCAAGGGCTTCATATACCAGAACCGTCTGCTTATCTTTTCAACACTAACCATTGCCATATTCCTTTGATAAGCTGATATTAAGTTCAGGTTTAATTAATACGAGGCTGGAACAAAGAAAGCTGGTCACAAAGGATACTAGTCACAATAAGTAAGAATAGCGAATGTAAATATCATTAACCATTCTGATATTTTCTCGTTTGGCGTGAACAGGAAGATGTCTTTTAAATGTTTTTATGCTATGTTTACATTTTCGTGTTTTGTTTATTTCTAATCAATTGGCACCAATGTCTAAGGAAATTATTTATATAAAGGTGTAGGTGCAAAAATAATTGCAGTGGCAAGACACACTTGCCGTCGTTACTCACATACCTACATTAACATTAGTATGTTTTATGGTAGACAAGTGAGGACATTTCCAAATTTGACTCCTCAGTGACAAAAAAATCCCCTACCTTAACTTATAGCAACATCTTCCCGTATGTCGTTGAGGCATGACCCATTATTGATCAAGTCATCTTAAACCTTCATTTTTTGCCTACACACCCTGACAATAATGTGAATGTAATCATTCGTTGTTTTCAAACACCCCTTACTCTTCACGGGGGTTATACGTTTTTGTCATAAAAGTGCTACATTAATGCATTCATGTCGTGATGCTGGCAAAATAATATTGATCGTTGTTCCGATACAGTGTAAACAACATACTCCCACTGATCATGAGACTGTTTTAGCAATTGATTGTTTAGTTGTTTCAGGTTCAATACACCATTAGAGAACAATAAGTGTCACGTTGCATACATTTTTGATTATTTGTTTCCACTTTGGCATAACAATATAACTCCGCCACCACTTTGCGATAAATCTTTATACCTCAAAACAGTTCACTGACAACATATGTCTACTTGAATTTTTTTGTCATCATGGTGTACAAACAAGTATGTACAATACACATGTTAAAATAACTTTTTATATACTTGTAAAAGAAATTATATCAATATGATATATTAAGTAATGTAGGTTTGCAGAGAATCACCTTTTCACTCGAAAAAAAATAAGCACTAAGATAAAGCGTCATACGTCATAAAGTTATTTAATCAGGGTTACAACATTCAAGGTCTCGGTTAAGCCTTCAAAAGGTTTTATGGTACACATGTCAGGATATTTCCAAATTTGACGCATCAGTGACAAAAAATGGTTTGCGATGCAATTCCCTATGTTCACTTGAGGCATTTTTGACGCGTAAGTTTTTAGGTGACCAATTTACTTGCCTTTGCATGTCTTTGTCATGAGTGCCACCAATTTGGCAGGATTCACCAAGTATCATCACTATTTAACAGTGGTTAATAAACACATGCTACTGATATATTCGGAATCGTACAATAAACTCCTTTAGCAGAAATTGCTTAATAAGTTAATTAATTATTTATTATTCGATAGAGCAGCGCCAGCTCTGCCAAAGGTTATGTTTCCGTGGATCGATGCTCATGATATCAATCACTGGATTGTCTGGTCCAGACTCGATTATTTGCAGACCGCCCTCATATAGCTGGAATGTTGCTGAGTGCGGCGTTAAACAACAAAACAACAACAACAACAACAACCACTTGTTTTGGGAAGTTGAATTTTGGGCCGCGTTAGTTTTGAACTGAGAGTCAAAATTTCTGTTTTGTGATCAATCATCTTGAGGAAGTTTGTCGTCATCCAATTTTTGAAGTCAACAATGCAGGCTGTGATTCTCTGGAATATCTCACTTACCGATGATGGTGACATTTGTATGAATCCTAGATATAGCTGTGTAGAATCAGCATACAGGCAAAATCTGAGATCTTGAGATCTTGAGATCTTGAGATCTTGCAATTCTGTCAAGGATGTTTATAGTAAAAATGTTTAGGCCAAGAACAGATCCTTGTGGCACTCCAAACGCGAGTACCCTTCTCTCTGAACTCACTCCAACAATGATCACTGACTAGTGGAGTCCTGTGGGATATGATATCAAATAAGATAGAGCATCGCCAGACTCTTCTTGGTCCAAGCGATGGCTTTTTCATAATTACGTTCCCCTGTTTTTTGTTCAGGTGAACACTTGATTTGCCCTTGCATGTGTTTTGAATGGTGCCAACGGTGAGGCATGATACGACCACCTCTTCGCGAACACCTGGTACCATCACAATGTGATAGTGATTCAAAAATACATGCTGATGATGTTGTCAGAATTCTATATAGAGAAGACTAAACTCATTCTTGTTTGATACTATTTTTATAAAACGTAGAAATTCTTTGTTATCTAACCGGTCGAAAGCGATGTAAGACACCATAAAGGTTCACGAGCTATTACAGAATGTGCAAACTTCGATTAACACACCGGTGTTTATTTATCAAAGAACGGAAATGGACTTTCTGTTTGCTTTCCGTAGTTTGTATTTCACTATGAGCCTTAAAAGCATATAGAAATGGTGAACTGTCAACACAATTAACCAGTTCTAGTTCGATTTTTATAATTGCGTCTGATGCAGATTCCTTTGTCTAGTTTTTTTTGTATGACTGGCAAAAATTCACAACAGTCTTCTTGGATAATTGGGCCAGTTTTGATTTAATGGACGAAAAACATTCTGACGTTCATGCTCATGTTATGCTCGATCAGGTGCCTTAATCTGAGAATGTGGGTTCGAGTCCCGAATAGGGCTCAACCCCAAAAGTACTAGAATCTGTACTTGATAGAGAGAGTGTAATCCCGAAATATAACATTTAATTGTTAAAAAATCATAGATCCGGAATACTGGCCAGTGTCGTAAGGCAACATTAAACCAACAAAACCCACGCGGACAAAACGATATTACAAGAGTTATTGTTTGGCTAAATATTTTGGTCCGTGCATAAAAACACTTTCAGTTTGCTAATTTCTCTCACGATACGCCACAGGCCCGTAACACTGACAAAAAGGCACACGATTGAAGCATGACCACTTCTCCAATGTTGTAAATATTGTCATTTGAATATTTCCTATAAAGGAGGCACAAGTGACACCATCATAACCACTAATACTATCACGATTATCAGGAACGCCAAACCTATCCACAAGAAGCCTGCAGAGTCAGTGTGCATCACAGTTGCATATAAGAATTGACTCTCGAAGAGGTTAACCAGTATGTTTAAGCATGAAAAGTCGACGCGCCCTATCGACGCACGGTGACACACACATAGGTCGTTTCAGAAAAATACACCTTAAGTGCCCGGGCTTTGTCAAGAATGATATGTTAATGTATCCCTAATGTATCCCCTAATTAATATATCCATTTTTCACGTTGTGGGATGTGTACAATGTTTTGTTACTGATCATACTAATATTCTGAAAGTGTCTAATATTTTGTTGAGCCCAGACATGTTGATTTTGTAATATCACGAAACATTCAATACAAATGCCATATGTTTGATTGAACGATGTAAGTCACGGGACGCCAGAAATGGGCTTCACACATTGTACCCATGTCGGGAATCGAACCCGGGTCTTCGGCGTGACGAGCGAACGCTTTAACCACTAGGCTACCCGACCGCCCCGGAAATGAAATGAAAAGCAGAATGCACGTGACAATCATTTGCAGTGACAATGACTATGAAAGGTCAATCGGCAGTCAATATTTTACCATACATTTGTCGACTTATTGGAAGTGGGGAAATGTCGAGATTGAATGCTGCCAATCGCAACATCGCCACATGACTTCTTGAAGCTTGGGAGTCCCAATCTGCAGTTGCACGTCATTTCAAGGTACACCAGAGCACAATATCTCGTTTATGGGATCGCTTTACCCGTCTCAATTCACCATATGGGATATCTCTACCCGTCTCAATTCACCATATCTCGTTTAAGGGATCGCTTTACTCGTCTCAAATCACCATATGGGATAACTTTACCCGTCTCAATTCACCATATCTCGTTTAAGGGATCGCTTTACCCGTCTCAATTCACCATATCTCGTTTAAGGGATCGCTTTACTCGTCTCAATTTACCATATCTCGTTTAAGAGATCGCTTTACCCGTCTCAATTCACCATATGGGATCACTTTACCCGTCTCAATTCACCATATCTCGTTTAAGAGATCACTTTACCCGTCTCAATTAACCATATCTCGTTTAGGAGATCACATTAAGATCGTCCGAGACTGCAGGGCATGTGCCTAGTTTCAGGAGGGTATCGGAACAAACAATCAGGAATCGTCTGCGAGAGGTGTGAATTTGACCAAGAAGACCGGTATTTGTCGCTGTATTGAGACGTTTGCATCGACGACAACGTATGCGATTGAGCAACACCGTACAGGTACGGACTCTGTGAAACTGGTGGCGAGTCTGGTTCAATGATAAATTACGATTTCTTCTACAACGCCGAGATGGAAGACAGCGTGCCTACCGAACTGCGTTCGAGAGGTCGACAGATTCAGTGGCGGAGGTGTGATGGTGTGGGGAGCCATATCCTACACACAGAGATCTGACTTAGTGGTGGTTCAGGGGAATCTGACAGCAAATCGGTACATCGACCAAATTTTCAACTTCATCACCTTCTTCCGATTATCAAGCGACAGGGTGTGTTGGGTCACCATGACAACGCTACAGCACACAAAGCTCCTGTCACTGTTGACTTCCTTCATAATTCAAACGTAATGTCTTGCCACGGCCCTCCAAACCCCCGGATCTGAACCCGATAAAGTATCCGTGGGATGAACTCTACAGACGCGTACGTCAACGTCAACATACGCCACAGACACTTGCACAACTTGCATAATTTGCACAACTTGCATAATTTGCACTTCATGGAGAGGGAGTTCAAAGTTGGATGACATGTTCCCAATCCATTTCAATCTGAATAAAATAAGTTTAAAATTTAAAACCCCCAACACAACTGGCCAACGCGTTGCAGGAAGAATGGAGGAGAATTCCACAGGCCAGATTCCGTAGCCTTAATCAGGTGATGGTAAAACAGGTAAAGCAGTGACGACAGCACACGGTGGTCACACCAGATACTGATATGAACGCCCCCATCGTGGACGCACGTGTCTTGTGACAGGACAGTCAGTATTGCCATTATGCCTACAGAACATGTGACTATCGCCATGCTAAGTGTCTATCAAATGAAATATTCACATTTAGTTGTTCAAAGTTAGTCTTAGCGTTTCTGTTTTTGAAGAGTGTAGTAGAGTGTTGCAGTAAGCTGAAATATGAGAGAGGCGGCAGCGCGCGGACGTAGAAAACCTCCGCTCGAGAACTCTTTCACCCTAACGGTCAGCCAATGCTATTAAGTCTGTTTGTAAACTTTAATTCGATACTACGGACTGAGCATGTAACTAATATGATGGCCAAGACCATCATGATAAGTTGCATGTATTGCGCTTTAAGAGCATGTTCTTTATACAATAAAGGCCCAAGTGGTTATTTAGTTAAAAGGTAACGAAAACCCAAGAGAGGAAAACATACAAGGGGTGGTCCCTCAATCTGTAACTCGTCACAGCTTGTTACGTATTGATTCCCAATTTGAAACGCAAAGGTTAACCCCAAAATCGGTAAATTGTGAAATCAGTACATAACCACACAAGATCAATGCACAAGTAACCAAAAATGTTGAAACACACAAGTTTAGGAATGCAATCATAAAAGGCAGTACAATTGGTTAAATAATGTTATACAACGAGTCAAAATATGTACCAGCAGCAATAGCTAATAGGCGCTTTTACAAAAGTCGGTGGACTCACGAAAGTCAAGTATTTGCCACAGTTGAATATCTTAAATGGCACGTGCCCCGCTCTTAAATACAGGAAACAATGTTCGAAACGGCAGAAAAGTCGTTGTTTTCCGCTTGGTACCCCGCCCGCACTGGAAAAGAAGATGAGACGCAAGTCCGGTCGGAGAAGGAAGGTTTCGAATCGCCCTCTTTTCGCTCCCACGCAGGGTAATCCAGACGCCAAGAAAACGCACATCGGAGCTTGTACAGAACAACGCAGAACAACGCAGAACAACGCTGCCAAAAGCATCTCATAGTGGAACCCTACACACCGGGATGCCAGCGAAAGTATCAAGCGTTGTGACGGAGTCTGGACTATACACAACGCAAGGGAGATCGCTCATTTACACGCCGTGGGAGTATCAAACTCCTGGACTATCAAACTTGGCATTTTATTAGCGCCTCGATCAAGTTACAATCAACAGAACTGCCTTTAACAATCGTATCGCCACATAACAGACTTATTGCCTCAGGTTATTATTTCCCATACACCTACTCAATCACAACCTCATAATAATTTTGTGTGTGCGTGCGTGCGTGCGTGTTTTTGAAACCAAGTATTATAGCCAGTGGGTCCTCAATGGAACAGACACGTGAATATCCGGGCTGGACAACGGATGACAAGTGGTCCGGCCACCTAAACGTCAAAAACCAACCTTGACTATCTCTCACAACTGACGCTCTCTCACATGACAACACATTCAAAATTGAAATTGAAGGTTCCCATTAATGGAAGCCAATGATTATATAATCAGGACGAGGACCTATGTCACATTTAAATGCAATGGCATCTGTATTGATATGAGCACAGAACGATATATCCATTGGAACAATATACCAAAGTCAGGAATTTCGTGACAGCCTTTAAAAACTATGTGCCACCTTGCTAAATGTACCTAGAGAGTCTTTAAACTTTAAAAGAAATGATGCACGAAATGTTTCCATATTCAACCATTGTCGGAGATAACCTGTGTCGTGGAGTAGCTGTCAGATAACTGACACGTGTTTACTTCCCATGCTTGTTTGACCACGACGTACGTGTAGAAACACCATTGCTTTCATTATATACGTATTGACAGTGGAGGTAAAAGCAACATGCTTCTGTTTCTGGCGATCCTATTCTCTGTGCACTCAGGTAGGTCCATCGTGAAGGTATACTGACGAGGCATATTTAGACACATGTTTCAGAAGATGATTGTAAACGTAATCCGTATTTTGATTTGTTTGAAGAGCAATCACGGAGAAACCAACATTTTTGGGACGTTGAGGTCGATTTGTGGTTGAAAGGCTCTCTCGTAACACCGAAAAAGTTTTCTATGGTGCAGCAGACCGTAAAGATGAATTTCGAGGAGACCTTTTCTTTTGTAACATTTTCAATAGTTAAAACACTATTGCAATTCTATTTCTATCTTGGTACGACTATCGCAATGGTAGTGCAATGTTTTTTTTAGTATCGTTCCGCCCTGCAATGCAGTTTTCTTTATTCAACATTGTTTCTAAATCCAAGATGTCCGCCGAATGTAAGAAATACAAATTGTGCTTTGGAAGGTGTAAATGGTGTTTTCTGGCATACGTCAAGCATGGTGTAAGTTTGGGTCAAACGATTGTAAAAGTTGATGATCAACAGATTGTTTTTCATTATATTATGTCTATGATATGATTGAAAATATGCTCAAAGCGGCGTTAAACCTTATTCGCTGACTCACCTATCCTACTCCGTTGTGTATATGCGTGTATAGGTTGCTGGTATGTCAGTGTATTCCACGATAGGATACTATGATCCAGCCAGGTTCTTGCGGACCAAGGCCCAGTTAACCCTCTCTTATGATCTTAACACTAACACTATCTATCTTATATAGTTTGATAGTTCAACGTCTGTCACACGTGATTATATCTGACGTGAATGAGCAAGTTGGGATAAACTACACTGTAAACACCCGATTGGTCCATCATAGGTTTCAAATCATAATAATCACCTTAGATTTCACACTCCGGCTCACTGATGACTTGGCATTGCACCGCTCCCACTGATTACATGCATATCACGCGACCGGACCTTTCTCGTGTTTGTAAACAATCGCACCTGTTCTAAAATCAGAGCTGTCTGTAGAGCTAATCTACTTTAGGGTTTGTCCACTTCGTGATGGTTTACGAAGTAGATTTGTTGATCAATTTGTATACTAGTAAAGCGAGAAAAGTACAGTAGACTACGGTTATAACGAACTCGAGGGGACCACTAATTTTAGTTCGTAATAACCGTAGTTCGTTATAAGCATACATACAGCATATATATAACAAATGGTCAGGACTAAAAAGTAAGTTCGTTATATCCGTCAGTTCGTTATATGCGTGTTTGTTATAAACGTAGTTTACTGTTATACTGATACTGATACAATGTTCGAGCATGTAAAGCGCTATTCTCTGTTATGTATAAAATAAAACACGTCAACGCCAGAAAATAACCTGTTTCGATTGCCGTTAAAGGAAACAAACCAGACGATCAAGTGATGGACCAGAAAATCATTTACTGAGATACGTATTTACTGATTTGGGCTACGTATGTGTTTCCTTAATTCAGAAACAATCCACTCAAACAGTGAACAAAACCGCTGCCATTTCACTCAATACATTCACGTTCAATTGACATGTATGTCACCTGTAGGTTACCTGTAGATTTAACCGTGCTAAATTTAACATTTCATACCTCGCGCGGCACGTTCGGTCGCAAATTCAATTTACTATGGTTACATCTGTAGGTAACCCAACTTTGCCTTGAAAACAAAGTTGGTTTAACTCGTAAATCAGCACCTGGAGGTCATTACAAAAACGTCGTGCTTAACAGGGCCTTATCCACTGGCATGACACATTGCAATAGTTAAAATGTCAAACAAAGCTATATGTTTGTCTTTGTAAATACAAACCTCTTTCTCTCTGTGTCTCTGTCTCTGTCTCTATTAATACTTTAGTTCTCTGCATGCCACTTCCGCCGTTTGTTGCAGTGGGAGCAGTGTGTCCATTTGGATTTGTCCGCAATGCCAACTCCTGCTACGCTTTCATTGCTGAAGAAATGTCGTGGGACAAAGCTCAGGTTTGTACATCGGTATCTGTGTGATGAGTGAGTGAGTGAGTGAGTGAGTGAGTGAGTGAGTGAGTGAGTGAGTTGGGTTTAACGCCGCTTTTAACAGTATTACAGTTATATCGCGGCGTGTCAGCTTAATGTGGGAGGAAAGCCCGAAGTGATGCAGGTCTCAGACGTGTACCACTTCGGTGAACCGAAAATCATAGGTTTCTGGCGTGCCCAAAGGACGCAACTCTGCACAGCGGGTCGCTGCGCCTTAGACGACTGGGCCACCCGTGCCCTATTTGTGTGATGAATTGTAACTTTGCTTCTCAAGCTTTCCTTGGGGACAAGGATTAGAATACGCCCCTATCACTCGTAAGACTGCATGTCGTCAACTTAACAAATAGGGTAATCCCGATGACTTATGTGTACACTGGAGTCCCGCGACACTGCTGATACTATCGACCACTGGTTTGACGGGTGGGTGGCTACGTGGTTTAAGGAGCCGTACTTGGATGCTTACCGTCCTTTAGTTGTGCTTGGTTAAAATCCCAGATTCGCCCTGATGGTATTATCGGTGGTACTGGATGTGGTAGTGCCACTCCAATCCTTTTGATAATTTGATTCTGCGTATATCATCACTATGCACGGATCGGTGGATTTAACAAAAGTTGTAAACGTTCACGAAGTTACCAAGGCGTTTCACTCACTCACTTACTCAAGCTCCCATACACACTCACTCACTCACTCATGTGATTGCTGTTGTAGGACTTCTGCCTCAACAAGTACGGAGCCCATCTGGCCGAGGTAGAAACAGCTGAGGAGAACACGTTCCTCGTGGACTACCTAAATATCCATACTCGTACGTCAACATCATTATTTAACGTCATACCTTGTTGCTTGGCGTCATACCTCTGTGACTTAATCGCGAGAATGAAAGAGTACATTATTCTACAACGGTAAGTCGCCTTTGTCCGCAAGGTGCATCATCTCCTGCATCATCAATCTGTGGAAACGATCTGTGGAAATGTTGTTGATACATTCTACGGCTACGCCCCGTGGTGTACGTTATAAACATATTCTATGGCTACGACCTGTGGTACACGTTATATATACATTCTATTGCTGCGATCTGTATAACCTGTGGTATATGTTAAAGATACGTTCTACGGTTACGACCTGTGGTACACGTTATATATACATTCTATTCCTACGATCTGTATAACCTGTGGTATATGTTAAAGATACGTTCTACGGTTACGACCTGTGGTACACGTTATAGATACATGCTACGACCTGTGGTACACGTTATAGATACATGCTACGATCTGTGGTATATGTTATAGATACATGCTACGATCTGTGGTATATGTTATAGATACATGCTACGACCTGTGGTATATGTTATAGATACATGCTACGACCTGTGGTACACGTTATAGATACATGCTACGATCTGTGGTATATGTTATAGATACATGCTACGATCTGTGGTATATGTTATAGATACATGCTACGACCTGTGGTATATGTTATAAATACATTCTACGACCTGTGGTACACGTTATAGATACATGCTACGATCTGTGGTATATGTTATAGATACATGCTACGATCTGTGGTATATGTTATAGATACATGCTACGATCTGTGGTATATGTTATAGATACATGCTACGATCTGTGGTACACGTTATAGATACATGCTACGATCTGTGGTATATGTTATAGATACATGCTACGATCTGTGGTATATGTTATAGATACATGCTACGATCTGTGGTACACGTTATAGATACATGCTACGATCTGTGGTACACGTTATAGATACATGCTACGACCTCTGGTATATGTTATAGATACATGCTACGACCTGTGGTACACGTTATAGATACATGCTTCGACCTGTGGTATATGTTATAGATACATGCTACGACCTGTGGTATATGTTATAGATACATGCTACGACCTGTGGTATATGTTATAGATACATGCTACGACCTGTGGTACACATTATAAATACATGCTACGATCTGTGGTATATGTTAAAGAAACATGCTACGATCTGTGGTATATGTTATAACTACATGCTACGACCTGTGGTACACGTTATAGATACATGCTACGATCTGTGGTATATGTTATAGATACATGCTACGACCTGTGGTACACGTTATAGATACATGCTACGACCTGTGGTATATGTTATAGATACATGCTACGACCTGTGGTACACGCTATAGATACATGCTACGATCTGTGGTATATGTTATAGATACATGCTACGATCTGTGGTACACGTTATAGAAACATGCTACGATCTGTGGTATATGTTATAACTACATGCTACGACCTGTGGTACACGTTATAGATACATGCTACGACCTGTGGTATATGTTATAGATACATGCTACGACCTGTGGTATATGTTATAGATACATGCTACGACCTGTGGTACACGCTATAGATACATGCTACGATCTGTGGTATATGTTATAGATACATGCTACGACCTGTGGTACACGTTATAGAAACATGCTACGATCTGTGGTATATGTTATAACTACATGCTACGACCTGTGGTACACGTTATAGATACATGCTACGATCTGTGGTATATGTTATAGATACATGCTACGATCTGTGGTACACGTTATAGAAACATGCTACGATCTGTGGTATATGTTATAACTACATGCTACGACCTGTGGTACACGTTATAGATACATGCTACGACCTGTGGTATATGTTATAGATACATGCTACGACCTGTGGTATATGTTATAGATACATGCTACGACCCGTGGTACACGCTATAGATACATGCTACGATCTGTGGTATATGTTATAGATACATGCTACGATCTGTGGTACACGTTATAGAAACATGCTACGATCTGTGGTATATGTTATAACTACATGCTACGACCTGTGGTACACGTTATAGATACATGCTACGATCTGTGGTATATGTTATGGATACATTCAACGATGACGCTGTACAAACATTCTATGGATACATTATGTCGATACGACCTGTGGTACGTGTTATAGATACATTCTACGATCTGTGGTTTTCGTTATAGACATATTCTACGACTACGACCTTTGTATAAGTAGTACATAGGTTCTATGTCTGTAATCTGTGGTATACGTTAACGATAGATTCTATGGATACGATCTGTGGTACACGTTATAGATACATTCTACGGCTACGATCTGCGGTATATGTTGTACATACATTCTACGGCTACGATCTGCGGTATATGTTGTAGATACTTTCTACGGCTACGATCTCTGGTATACGTTATAGACACATTCTACGACTACGATCTGTTGTATACGTTGTAGATACATTCTACGACTACGACCTTTGGTATACGTAGTACATACATTCTATGTCTACGACATGTTGTACGCGTGATAGGTACATTCTACGGCTACGATCTGTGATATATGTAGTTACATACATTCTATGTGTACGACCTGTGGTATACGTTATAGACATATTCTATGGCTACGACCTTTGGTATACGCTGTACATACATTCTATGTCTGCGATCTGTGGTATTCGTTATAGATAGATTCTGTCGATACGATCTGTGGTACACGTTATAGATACATTCTATGGCTACGACCTGTGGTATATGTTGTACATACATTCTATGTCTACGATCTGTGGTATACGTTTTAGATACATTCTATGGCTACGACCTTTGGTATACGTAGTACATACATTCTATGTCTACGATCTGTGGTATACGTTAAATATAGATTCTGTGGATACGACCTGTGGTATACGTTTATGATAGATTCTGTTGATACGACCTGTGGTACACGTTATAGATACATTCTACGGCTACGACCTGTGGTATATGTTGTAGATACATTCTACGGCTACGATCTGTGGTATACGTTATAGATAGATTCTGTGGATACGACCTGTGGTATACGTTAAAGATAGATTCTGTGGATACGACCTGTGGTATACGTTATAGATACATTCTACGGCTACGACCTGTGGTATACGTAGTACATACATTCTACGGCTACGATCTGTGGTATACGTTATAGATAGATTATGTGGATACGACCTGTGGTATACGTTATAGATACATTCTACGGCTACGACCTGTGGTATACGTAGTACATACATTCTACGGCTACGATCTGTGGTATACGTTATAGATAGATTATGTGGATACGACCTGTGGTATACGTTATAGATACATTCTACGGCTACGACCTGTGGTATATGCAGTACGTACATTCTATGTCTACAATATGTGATCTATGTTGTAGATACATTCTACGGCTACGACCTGTGGTATATGCAGTACGTACATTCTATGTCTACAATATGTGATCTATGTTGTAGATACATTCTACGGCTACGACCTGTGGTATACGCAGTACGTACATTCTATGTCTACAATATGTGATCTATGTTGTAGATACATTCTACGGCTACGACCTGTGGTTGGGAGGGACTGACAATACATTTGATAAAACCTGGCGCTGGTCTGTGCTTTCCAACGCCAGTATGACGTACACAGACTGGTCCCCAGGACAACCAGACGGTAGTTTCCAGGGATTAGAGCGTTGCCTGGAACTGGAGTCCACGTATAAATTGAAATGGAACGACGACGACTGCTACGATCACGACATGTTCATCTGTGAACGACCGTAAGTGTAACTGCCTGATTCATACGTTCTTCTAGCTGCAATACTATAGCCACATCACGGGAAAGTGAGCAACGACCTTATCTGTATATCAAATTGTTGCATGGTGAAGGAAAATGGTAAATGACTATGTAATGTGTTACATCGCAGTTTGCAGCCATAGCATTTTGGGGGAGAAGGGAGTGGGGGTGGGTGGGTTGTGGGGTGGCACACCGAAAAAGGCTTCACACATAGTGAGTGAGTGAGTGAGTGAGTTGGGTTTAACGCCGCTTTTAACATTATTCCAGTTATATCACGGCGTGTCAGCTTAATGTGGGAGGAAAGCCCGAAGTGATGCAGGTCTCAGACGTTTACCACTTCGGGGAAACCAACGAGCACGGGTAGGGTGCTGGCAAACCTAGAAACATAATTGGGTCGAACCTGGATTCGAACCCACAATCATAGGTTTCTGGCGTGCCCAAGGGACGCAATTCTGCACAGCGGCGCCTTAGACGACTGGGCCATCCGTGCCCCCCGCTTCAGACATAGAATTTATGTCTTAAAAATTCGAACTCGTGTCTACGGCATGACGTGCGAACGCTTTAACCACTAGGCCTCTCTACCTGCGTTTTTTGTTATGTTCAAGATGTTGTCCTTATTTCATTTTTTAAACTATGAGCATGCACGATACCAAGACAAATATGTCACACTGATTATTAGTAAATGCTTTAACAGGGCAAAAGTGTATTGATATTTTTTAAATTAACGTCAGATAGATTACACGACCCCTCGTAGATATAGATATTTTCTACTACAAGGATATATTAGCAAGAGCCAATACGAAAATACATTTTTATGTGCGCTTTCAATAAGAGGCTATCATTTGACAGAGATATGACATTACTGAGAGTATGAAGATTTTAGGCCTCTTCACTGAACACTAGCTTCTACAATTAAGCGAACCTTTAGAGAAAAATTATACTCAGGGTATCGATGTTTTTCAGATTTAATCCCCCGATCCCTCCTTTTCCTGGTGTTGGACGCTAAACAGGTGATCGATCTGCCTCTCGATGGGCGGCCAAGAATTAAGCTCTTTATACATAACATAGAATAAATGGTTCGAAATTTAGTGTTGATTGTTCTCTTTTGTAATCACCTATACACCCTTAGACACAAATGGAGTTCTGGTGAAGATCTTGGTGCCGTTGTACAAAGCGATTTCAGTCAACGCTAAGGTGGGTGATCGTAATTCCCATACCTTATCATAGACGTACGGTAGTCGTAGCGTTAAGGTTGTTTGGAACAATGGCACCCTGATTATTAGGGGTCACTCTTCAACACATCAACAATTCCATCACGCTCAGGACATATCCAGGTTACATTGTATGCTACATGTACATGTACAACTTTGTCGAAAACTAATATATGTACATATTTCACACAGTCAATATATACTGTCGAAAGCTTTGAGTTCTGGGAGCGGATGCCTTACTCTGAGAGTGTGGGTTCGAATCCCGGGTGGGACTTCAGCCAGAAGGGTTTTGGAATTTGTACTTTAAAATCCCAAATGTTACATTTGACCTTTTTCAAAAAGGCATTGGCGTTTCATAGGTTTCGGCTGTTGAGGTCGTGCAAATTTACACTTGTCAGAGGGGTACACAAAGTATGTGATCTAACCCACTAGTTGTCGGTCTTTCATTTTTGTGGAAGTCTTTGTGGCTGTGTGGGTTAGATCGCTGATTTTGTGTACTGACGATAAGGTGCCTTACTATGATAAAGTGGGCTCGAATCTCGAATGGGATTTCATCCAGACGCATTTATGAAAAGAAGACTCCTCGGTAACTGCCTGTGTGCACATGTAGCGCAACGTAAGCCTGAGTTGGACCCTGTCACTGATTCATATTCATTGTGTGAGTGAGTGAGTGAGAGTTGGGTATAGAGCTGCTTATAACAGTATTCCAGTTAAATGACGGCGTGTAAGCTAAATGTGGATGGAAAGCCCGAAGTGATGCAGGTCTCAGACGTTTACCACTTTGGTGAAACCCACGAGCACAGGTATAGTTTTGACAAACCTAGAAACATAATTGGGTCGAACCTTGATTCAAACCCACAATCATAGGTTTCTGGCATGCCCAAGGGATGCAACTCTGCACAGCGAATCACGACGCCTTAGAAGACTGGACCACACGTTCCCCATATTCATCAAGTATAGAACTCAAGTCATCACTAGCTTCTGTGTGAACTGGACTTTGCTATTTTACTATTATTGTTTCTAAACAGACACACCCAGAAACAGAATCCGGTCAATCAAGGATCCGAACTTAAGATCGGCGCGCCAAATTAGGCCACACATCTTTTATTTTTCGTTTCAAGGCCCGCCGCCCCTACTGAAAAGCAGCTGGAAAAGAAAAAGAAATAAACGTAAAAAGATTTATAATTTTTTTATTATCTCTCACTCGAGTAATTTTGACCCTTGTATACAATATAAAATATATATTTATTCCATGTCTACATCACAATCAGTGATTCAAGACTCCAGCTGCAGTTCTGCAGAATGACTTTCTTATAAATAAATAAATAAATGATTGACATAGCTATTTATGTTTATCTTAATTTCGACCGATCTTGTGTGGAAAAGCTGGAATAAATCCGTGAAACATAATATTAAAAAAGTGTGGACTTAGGGACGCACAGCGAATTGCAGCGCCTAGGGTGACTGGGCCACCCGTGCACTGACAGGCATGTTGAAGATGTGGAAAGACGCATTTGTGAAAAGTGGAGACCATCGTAGCCTTATGGGGAGCACGCAACGAAAAACTCCTGCTACACTTGAAACCGTCTACTCATTCATATTGATTATGGTTGCAACTCCGGTCTCGTCATCTCGTCTGTTTGATCATGTAAGTTATTTGACAATAACTAAATCACTACATAACTAAAAAGCAAATGTTAATGTGACACACAAAAAGCAAAGAGACTCGGTCAAAAGAATTAACTGCCTTGGATGGAATTATAGCACATGGAGAGGACAATTCCTCAAGATACAGTAACGAGCAACAGTCCATATGCATAGCGCTCCTGACATATGCTTTTGTTTGTTTGTTAGTCGTTTAACGCCACACTCAGCAATATTCCAGCTATATAACGGCGATCTGTAAATAATCGAGTCTGGAACAGACAGTCCAGTGATTGAAATCATGAGCAACGATCGACTCAATTGGGATACGATGACATGCATCAACCAAGTCAGCGAGCCTGACCACCCGATCCCGTTAGTCGCCTCTGAAGACAACCGTGGGATAGTGGAGACCAGTTCACACCCGAATCTTCACAGGACGAGAATACTACCATGGACACGAGGTGATAGATTTTCCGATCGACTGCAACTTTGTATGCTGAACGGGAGCATTTGTCAGAATGATTTTACGTTCGTTTCAATCCGAAAAAACTACAGTGACGGACAATGTGTTCATGTCGCTGACAATACTACGTCCAAACTGTGTGATGTTGAGAAAATTGCTGAGCAATCATTTGGCCAGATGAATCTAGCAGCCTGGCAAAATTGTGTTGAGTATGTAGTCAATAACGTAGAGCTGATCAGCTGGTCAAGGATTCAGACAGGAGTGATTCAGAGTATGGATTTAGTGTTTGGAGAAGAACCCTTTTGGTCCCCGATGCTGTGGCTGTCACTCCCTCCGTGTATACATACAATGAAGCAATTCTCGGAGCAATTTGCCATCGACGTTGATGGACATGCTAAGCCGCCAGTCCACCTTGAAAATGGACTGTGCCGGTTTTGTCCTTCACCTGTTGAAGATGAAGTCCATTTGTACTATTGACTGATGTATTCACGTTGTATGTGTGTATCAACTACTGGTATTTTGTCCATTATAAGTTGTCAACCGATCTCGAGGGGAACATCACACCATATGCCTCTTACCGACATTCATTCATACAGGTTCGGAATATATGTCCGTAGTTTCACGAGCAAAACTCATAGCAGACGATGCAAACAAACCGAGTTACTTCCCCTTACCCATTAATTCAGATGAACATCAGTCCATTTCAACTCAACGATGCTAATTCGAGAGATGCAAGTTCCATGCGATGTTTTCCGATTGATTTCTCAGTGGGCTACATGAGCGGACCACATGAAAAATATTTGCCCGCTTTATCTCTCAGAAAGTGAGATAAATCTTCTTATACCTCCATGTGTGAATGGTGAGATCTGATTGGTCTACGTGATGTTGATAGAATACTTTATCATACCCTCGTGTCAGAAGAATGAGATCTGATTGGTCCACGTGATCTTGATAAAATTCTGTGTATTCCGCCTTGGAGGGAAATAGATTTCGCAGCGGAAGAATACATCCCTTATACACCCCTGTTCTCCGTCACGTGAGTGTTTTAATTCTTTTACAGTGTCATATTAAAACATGTCCGTAAGATAAATGTGTTATGCGCTTTTGAGTTTTAGACATAATTTACATTCAGTCTTTTCTTCTAAGCCACTACTTTTCTTCTTTATTAGAAATCCTATGCCACGGGAACCACACCCGTCCTTATTTACTGAAGGGATCTGTTATGCCAATTCCCTTTGTAGCCATATTATATATATATTATTTTATAAATATATGACAGTCTGGGAAGAATGTTTCATCAGCATCCCATTGAGACACTACATTAGGACACGTGCGGATACCGGGTTAGAATTGGTTCCAAGCAACCCATGCAAGTCGTCAGAGTGAGTGAGTGGGTGGGTGAGTGAGTGAGTATGGTATAAGACCACTTTTAACAATATAACAGACCAGAAATGGGCTTCACACATTGTACCCATGTCGGGAATCGAACCCGGGTCTTCGGCGTGACGAGCGAACGCTTTAACCACGAGGCTACCCGACCGCCCCGCAAGTCGTAAGAGCCGACTACATGCATCGAGTGGTCCGACTCGGTGACTTGATTGATGGCGTGTTAGCTATCCCCGACGGTGTGAATCGTTGCTCATAATATCAATCACAAGATTGTCTGGTCCCGATTCTATTATTTGCACAAGACCTGGAATACTGCTGAAGCCGCGGTAACCGAGAAACACACACATATGCATAGCGTTTCGATCATGACACCAAGTTGTATAATCGTCCCGATGACACTATCCAATTATACTTAATATATCATCAAATATATAACAAACTATCAAAAAAAAGAACTATATCTTTGCTCAGTAGTTGTGATACAAGATACACCACCACACTTTTGACAAATAAAGCATATATATACGCCCATACCAGCTACACCACCACGCTTTGGACAAATAAAGCATATATATACGCCCATACCAGCTACACCACCACACTTTTGACAAATAAAGCATATATATACGCCCATATCAGATACACCACCACGCTTTTGACAAATAAAGCATAATATATACGCCCATACCAGCTACACCACCACACTTTTGACAAATAAAGCATATATATACGCCCATACCAGCTACACCACCACGCTTTTGACAAATAAAGCATATATATACGCCCATACCAGCTACACCACCACGCTTTTGACAAATAAAGCATATATATACGCCCATACCAGATACACCACAACGCTTTTGACAAATAAAACATATATATACGCCCATACCAGCTACACCACCACGCTTTTGATAAAAAAAGCATAATATATACGCCCATACCAGCTACACCACCACAAACGCAATGGTACATAAAAGCGACAAAACCCTTTCATAATCAGAAGATATATCTGCTAAAAACCAGAGTCCGTCATTGTGACTGTAGCACAGGCATGCATCATTGTTACATGTAAATGTCCGTCATAGAGCTGCGGCTCGAAACAATAAACAAGCAAACAAAACATGTAAATGTGTTTGTCGAAAGTTTGTCGGTGGCATTAAATGATTCAAGTGCTCGTAAAATGCCGATCACTGTCGGCAAAATATTTGTTTGCTTGTTTTTTGTTAGCGCCGCACTCAGCAATATTCCAGCTATATGATGGCGGTCTGTAAATAATCGTGTCTGGACCAGAGATGGTCCAGTGATTGACATCATGAGCATCGATCCACGCAATTGGGATCGATGACATGCATCAACTAAGTCAGCGAGCCTGACC